AAGTATAGCATGCTGATGTCTCCAGAATTAGTTTTTCTTATTCATGGCTGCTTTGGAGTCCCTGGGTCTTTATGCTTAAATACACTAATTTTACCATGGTTTTTTTTTCAATTGTGTGAAAAGTGATGGAATTTTAATGGAGATTACATTGATAAGTTTTTTTGGTTTTGCTTTTTTTTGTATTTGTTTGTTTGTAGAACAGCGATTTTCACAACAGTAATTTTTCCATTCTATGTGCATAGGAGGTCTTTATTCTGGAATCTTCCTCAATTCCTTTCTTAGTATTTTTAAGTTTTTATTGTGGGGATCATTTATTTCCTTTGTTAGGTTTCCCTACAAGGTATTTTATTGCTTTTGAGGGTGCTGTGGTTAATATTATTTCCTTGATTTCTTTCCCAGTCTGTCATTGGTTGTAGGAAAGCTACTGTATTTTACTTGTTAATTTTGTATCCCAGCAATTTACTGAAGGTGTTTATTAGCTCTAAGAATTTTCTGATGAAGACTTTAGAGTCTGTTATGTGTGGGCTCCTGTTATCTGCACATAAGGACACTGTGACTTCTCCCTTCCTGTTTGTCTCTGTCTTTTTCTTGTCTTGCTGCTTTAGCTAAGATCTCAAGCAGTGTACTGACCAGGAGTGGAGAGTGCAGACTGCCTGGGCTTATTCCTAATTTTAGTAGAAATGCCTTGAGTTTTTGTCCACATATCATGATGTTGGCTGCAGGTCATTCAGTCTGTATCATGTTGAGATGAGTTTCCTCCACTCATATTTTCTTCAGGGTTGTTTTCATGAAAGGGTGTTGGATTTTGTCAAGGTCCTTTCCTACAACTATTAAAATAATCAAGTGATTTTGACTTTGAGTTTATTTATGTGATGTATTACATTTATTGATTTGTGAATGTTGAACATCTTTGTATCTCTAAATGGAGCCAGCTAAATCATGATGAACAATTATTTTTACAACCAGTTTGCAGATATTATGGAGAATGTCTGTATCTATGTTCCCCAATTTACTTTTTTTTTTTTTTTTGGTTTTTTGAGACAGGGTTTCTCTGTGTAGCTTTGCACCTTTCCTGGAACTCACTTGGTAGCCCAGGCTGGCCTCGAACTCACAGAGATCCACCTGGCTCTGCCTCCCAAGTGCTGGGATTAAAGGTGTGCGCCACCACCTCCCGGCCCCCAATTTACTTTTATATTGCTGTGTGTTTGTCTGGTTTTGGTATCAGGATAACACTAACTTCATAAAATGACGTGGGAAGTATTCCTTCCTTTTCTACTTTTGGGAATCTCTTGAGATCACTTGCTGTTCTACTTTGAAGGCCTGGTAGAATTATACACTGAATCTATCTGAGCCTGGACTTTTGGGAGTGGTATATTACCACTTCTATCCCATTTATATTTTTATCTCATCTGCATTTGACTTTGTTAGGTCATAATGTCTAGAAATTCATCAATATCTTTTGGGGTTTCCCACTTGGTAGAACATAAGTTTATAAGATATGCCCTCATTTTTGTAGGATATTCACCAGAGAAGACTGCTCAGACATGGGTTTAAGCCATAGAAACTCTTTATTAGCCAGAGGGTGACTATACTGGGTGTTCAGGATCCCAATGTAGCACTAAGACTTTCCCAGGATCAGCTTTTAAGCACAATAGACATGCTCTGGGTTGGCATACTTCAGTTAACAAGAACAGTTTTCCAGAAGCAGAACTGTAGAAGCTACAAAGTAACAGTACATTTTGGGACTTTCTCAGAACTATGTGGACTTTGACATAGTAGGCCTTTGTCTAATCTTGGCAGGTAGTGCTGCCTACATGCTGAGGTCTACAACATGAATGTTACTCCTATCATGGAGTCAGCTGTGCTAAGGCCTGGAGACCTGTTACATTCTCGACTGGTGTTAGTGAATGAGTCAAATCATGGACTCATCCTGTTTTAGTTTAAAATGTAAGGCACTGCTGTTAATCCAATCAGAATGAGAACTAAAGGCCCAGACAGTGCTGATAATAGAGTAGTTAGCCAGGGGAACTAAGAGAACAGAGACTGGTATTAATTTTTTCTGACAATGGCAAGATTTATTTAAAATTAATGATTGATAGAAACAACAGGTTGTTCCCAAAGTCATGCAGAATCCTTTAATCTCATGAGAAGTCTATGCCTCTCCAATTTTGTGAAAGAATCTATCTATTGTTTTAATACCTCTAGGTCTTGATCAACCTATCTACTTAGTTTGGAAAGCATCAGAAGAGGCACATTTAGTCAAAACATTGGCAATTCTCACCAAGTAGCTTCAGGGGCTTTTGGTCATACAGTTTTATCAAAATAAAAACCTAACTAACAGGCCTTGATATTCACAAAGTATTTAAGACATATAGTAAATTATAATAATCCCAAGGTCATAAGGGAATAACCTTCTTCCTTAAAGTTCAGAGATAAAAGAGTATAGCAACGTCTTCTAGACTGATGTTGAAACAATGCTGCAGAGCATCCACTGTGTGCTAAATGATACTCAGGATCCAGTCACAGGGGTCTAAATTCAGTGATCTTCTAGGCCCCATTATATCTAACAGCTTATTTTTTAATAAGGAAAGATTGATGCAATGTATGTCCCAAATTAGATCCCTAAACAAGACAGGATATTAATAGGAAAGTGGTGGAATTTGTTATAGTGTTCAGATTAATGAACAGCAATGTCCCAATGTTAATGTCAGTTTTAACCAAAGTACCTTGGCAAAGGAAATTTTCACATTAACAAAATATGGGCAAAGGGCACACAAGAACTCTCTACACTATCTTCCTAAATTTCTGTATACATAAAAGTATTTGAAAATTAAGCCTACTAAGCCAAATGTAGGGGGATACTCATGCAACTGCAGCAGTTCAGGAGTCAGAATCACAGGAACATGGATTTCAAGCAAGTTTGTCCTAAGGGCATAAAAATTTGTCTCAATAAATTCAGAAAACATAAATTGGCTAAAAGGTGGATGGGAAACTTGAGTCCATGCCTGTAAATGCTAGAAGACAAACCTGAACTGTTACAGTACTCTGAGGGTAAACAGAGATGGGTCCATTGTGTCATTTCAGAAGCAACACATGGAGACAGGAAGTCCTGATTAGAGAAGAGCATGACTGTCTTACATGTGTTAGTCACAATCCATTTCCTAACCTAGAATGGTTTGTAATGTATTTACAAATGCACTTAAAGATGTTTATTTAAACAAATTTCCACGCAATTTATTTTGATCATATTCTTTCCCTTTCCCCAACTCCTCCCAGATCCTTCCCACCTACCTACCCACCTAACTCTGTGATAGCCCACTCTCTCTCCCTGAGCTGAAGAAAAGAAAGAAAAACAACAACAACAAAAGAAAATCAAAACAGACAAACTAAAGAACAGGAAAAGCAGTAGGATAATGAATAACAAACAAAACTGCAAAAACCCATATGAAGTCTGTTTCATGCTGGTCACTTAACCCGGGGGAAAGGTCATGCCCTGGAGTGGAGCTGTTATTCCCAGTGACACCTTACTGGAGAAAACTGATTTTATTTTTCCCAGCAAATACCAATTACACATAGCCTCTGGGTTAGGGGTGGGATTGTGTGTCCACTTCCCCTTTTCAGTGCTGGGATTCTGTCTGGCTTGAGCTGCAGGTCTTGTGCATGCTGCTACAATCTCTGTGAGTTCCTGTGTGTGTTAGTCCTATAGTTTCTGAAAGATCCTGTTTCCTTGGAGGCATCCACCACCTCCAGCTCTTAAAACCTTTTTACCTCCCCTTCTGCATAGACCTCTGAGTGTCAATGGGAGGGGTTTGATGAAGACATCCCATGTAGGGATATGTGCTACAAAGTTTCCTAGTCTCTCTACATTGTCCAGTTGTGGACCTCTTTGTAAATTACCAAACTACCAAGAAGAAGCTTCTCTAATGAGGGTTGAGCAATGTTCTGGTCTATAGGTATAGCAATATGTGATCAGAAATCACTGCATGCTATGATTCCTTGGAAAAATAGTAGCAGTATGTTTTCCCCCAGGCTCAGGACCTGTCTAGTCTCAGGTTCTTGACCACTTCACAGTGTCAGGTATAGGCTTCATTTCAGGTTGTGGAACTTAAACCCAAATTTAAAAATTGATTGGTTGTTCCCATAACATTTGTGCCACTATTGTGCCAAAATGTTCTGCAGGCATGTTACTGGGGAGGTCACAGAGCTCATAACTAGGGGATACTGTTGATTACTATTCTCCTGTAGGAGCATCAAAGAACCTCCCAGCACCATGAATGCTAGGAGTAGTGGTGAAGCCTCCAATGTGTACCTGCTTCATTTCTTGTGTTAATGACATAAATAAGTGGGGTCTTCAGCAATAGGTTCCTACTATCAGGTTATGGATAGCAACCAATAGCCTTGGCAATAGTCTGTGATGTTTGGGAGATCTACAGGAACTCCTTTGGCCAGTGACTGAACATGATGTAATCCATTCCTGGCACTCAAGGTTTACTTGGTGACATAAGATGTCTTTCTAGAGCATTGTCTTGTCTATTATATGGTGACTTCATTATTATTCCTTTCATATATACATATTTATAGAGTGCTTCTATAATAGTAAGTTTCCATATATGTTTTCAAATGGCCTTTGTGTAATTGCCCTTCCTTTTATTCCCTCATCTACCTTGCCCTCACATACCCTCCCATTGAATCCTAGTCTAGTTTTCCATTTATCTCTTTATAATATTGTACTCTTATTTCTTCTTCCTTGGATCCTCTTGTTCTCCCTGGTCCCTTACTAGCTGCCTAACCTCTATGTATTCAGACTGAAGTACACATGCCTAGAGCTTAAAAGCCAACATCCACATGTAAGATAAACCATGCAGTATTTGTCTTTTGGGTTCTTGGTTAGCTCACTCAGAATAAGTGATTCTAGATGCATTCAACAGCTGAATAATGTTCCATTGCTTAAATGTACCACATTTTCAGTATCCATTCATCAGTTGATGGACATCTGACTTCTTTATTTTTCCATTACAGCTTATGTACCCCATCAGAATTTTTCAAATAATATAAAAATTACAATATTGTTACATTCTATTTTTAAGCAAATGATTACAATGAATACAAGTAAAAAAAACATGTTTCCCATTTCCCTTACAAGAGTAAACATTTTACATATTACAGGTAAAACACAAATTATCCCCAGCACCCAATACAGTTAAACATTTATATTTTAGACTTATAGATCTGGAGACTTTCAGTCACAATCATTTACATAGGCAATCATTTTTATAATTGTCAGAAAAATGGATTACTGATTTCACTTTTCATATTTTAGAGTCCTGTCCAAATATCTTAACTAACCATCTAATTCTTTGTTTTCTAGTTACATGAAGTCAATTGTTTAAAGCTATGATGCACACTGAAACCTATGAACACATTTCCCAACATCAAAAAGAACTTGAGCTAATTTCTGGGACTTGATTGTTTTCCTTAATAATTAATCTAAACCACAGTCTAAACAGCTTCTCAAGAGAAAGTCATAAGTCCTAATGCATAACACTTCCTTGGTCCTATTTTCCACTCTCTGTAGCCCCTGCTTTCTCAGAGGTGGGGGCAACATGATATCCTAACTTTACCTATATTAATTTTCCCACCAAACTAACCTCTATCACAATCCCTTACTACATTTCTGAAAAGTTCTTAATCATCAAAATCCTATTAAAACTATCACTGCTATTATAAAATCATTACTTCAGTTGAACAGTACAGGCTAAGAGGAAATCAACTTCATAATAATCCACAGATAAAAAATGTCTAGTAAACCATGATATTTTTATGAGATAATCACACTACATTAAAGGCAGTGGGGATCCCCCACACCCATTCATACCATGCCAGATACCAGAGAAAAGTGGCATTGGCAAACATGTAATGGCACAGCACTAGCAAGAGACATTTAAAACTCAAGTTCTCCGGTCTTGCCTATCCAGGATTCACCCACCATTGCCTTGCACTCTGGTGACTGAACTCCTGAAATCCAAGTGCTACCTGCTGCTCCACTGACATGGCCACTGACAGGTAAAGTTTTAATTTCTTTTAATGTCAGTTTAATTCAAAGAAAGTGGAAGGGTGATTTTAAAACACCTCTTTTTCTCAAGAGATAATAACTGCACATAGGTAATTGATAAGAAGATAATCATTATACAAGCTAAGGCCACGTGATTCTTCCAGAAGCCCCATGATGAGAGATCAATGCCCTGGATTGTCAAGAATTCTTCACCAGTACATCTGTAATTCAACATACATAAAAATAATGTCAAAGTTTATTCAGTACATTCACTGTTCCTCCCTTTTAAGAACTCATAGTTTCAACACATCATTAAAAATTTCATCTTTATATTTAATTGGTAGTAGTAATGTTGTACTTACAATTTTGTTATATATTATGTCAATATAAACTACTTGAATCAGGTCCCTTAGTTAATTTCAAAAACCATCCAAAGAGGCTTAGCTATCACATCTATTTAAAAGCATAAAGGAAGTAGGCTCAGTAAACTAGGCCCAGTTTAGAGAGTCACACTAAGATCCAACTTTGTAGTCTTCACTGTGTCATTCATTTCTAAATCTACAATGCTGCCCTCTCCTCAAAGGGCAAAGGCATGGATAAAGGACTTGTTTCTCCTTAAGTGGAAAACCTCAGCTTCCTAATGACACACAGACACTCTAAGAGATCAATCTTGGTGCAGTTCTGCTGACTCAGTAGACAGTCATGCAATAAACACAGCATCAAATGCTAGACCAAGGACCAGAGAGACTAAGGGTTTCTGACAGGAGTCAGTCAATTCCTGTCAGCTCTTCTACTAAGGGAGCATGACAACTACAGATACTCAGCTATGGAACATCCCCAGCAGCCCATGGCTACAGACAGAGCCTGGGTAGCAGCTGGAGCACAGCAGGGGCCCTGAAACAGGTTAGAAAAGCAGCTGCTGCTAAAAGTTCTGAATATACAATTACTACCTGTGTGTCTCCATCCCTGTGTGTCTCCATCCCTGTGTCTCCATCTCTGTGTGTCTCCATCCCTGTGTGTCTCTATCCCTGTGTGTCTCCATCTCTGTGTATCTCTTAGGATTTAAAAGTTCCCAAATCTACAGACAGGACAGATTTCTTCTTCCTCTTGTAAAGACAATTCTTTGGTGAACATGAGGTCTATGGACAGCCCTCTTCTGGTTTCACTTTATACATCTAAGTCCTCCTGACCATTAACCGGTAAGGAATTTGTATTATAAAGAGACCAGACCAAACCAGGAGAAAGGAGATGTAGGAAATAAGATACCCCCCATACCTGTTTTCTTATCAGTAATTCAAACATAATTTGTGTTACTGTTAGTCATTGTTATTTTGAGCATCCATGGGAAATTTAATATATCATCATATTACTCTCCAATTTATATATCAAAATCAAATCAATGAGAAAAATCAAGAAAGCAAAGGTATTTTCCTGGCATTAGACAAAAATGATATTTCCTTCTCAACATAGTAAAATGTGTGTTTTTCATTGCAGGACAAGTCTTCTGATAGGAGATTTTACCTATATCCTACATACACATGCATACACACACACACACACACACACACACACACACACACACACACACAAACACACACACATGTACCATCCTTTGACTTTCTAAATTCTTCCAGAGTGTGAGGCAGAGGAAAGACTCTGAAATCTGTCAGGCAAAGCTTACTCATTTTAGCCTTGTTGCCCTGACGTTCTCAGGCTCTGCTCACAGGTACCATGATCTATACATGTAGAAACTTATGTCCTTCCTAAACTATCAGAGCAGACTATGTCAAACTCAAATGTCCTGAAACAAGGAACTCAAATCCACAATCAAGACACCAAAACCATTTTTAAAGCATTATCTACACCAAGGAGCAGTAGGATCAAAACACATCCACATGTGCACTGGGTACAATGATTCTCTCTGGGTAACTGGCAGAGGACAGTGTTAATCCTGAAAGGATGAGTTTCCCCTCCAAGTCCAGGAGCATTCTGTGTCCCCATTGTGACGACACTGAACTCAAGCTTACATTATATAGTTCTGACATTTACTGATTTCTGCTGTGTTATGTTCTGGACAGAAGTTTTGTCCCAGGAATTCATTGTGCTGCAAAGCCTGTAACACAAACAGGAATAGGGAGAGGGAAATAGTTTAATTTATATAAGTTTCCAAAAATTAAACACAGCTATAACTTCAAGTTCAATCTTGACTGTAATTTCAAAAAAAAAAATTGTTGTTGTTGTTTGCAAGACAGGGTCTCTCTGTGTAGTTTTGGAGCCTGTCCTGGATCTCTCTCTGCAGACCAGGCTCGCTTCAAACTCACAGAGATCTGCCTGGCTCTGCCTCCCGAGTGCTGGGATTAAAGGTGTGTACCACCACCACCTGCCTATTTCCAAAAATACTTTAAACAAACAAAACCGTATCAAGTTCATTCTGCCCAGCAAAGCAGTATCCCTCCCTCACACTCAGGAGGTTTAGCATTGAAATGATGGTTCTTCCCAACTACTGAGAGGTAGACTCTCTAACCAGATTACCTCAGGCACTTCCTTCTCTTATAGATAACCATGTAAACACTGTAATTAAAACAATACTATGATTTATACTAACAATATTTCTTGCTTCTTTTCATCAAAACCAGTTGTGATTATGAGAGTAAGAAAGTCTGTTAAGACACACTTTACTGCAGAGAAAGCTTGGCAAGCCAATATGACTATGATATCACATGATTTCCATTTCTTTTAATTTCTTGATATAAACTATTTATCTTAGTCCCTGATCTTTTCATTATTTCCTTATTGGGTATAATCACAACTGTTTGCTTTTCATCATATCATCTATCTTTCCTCTTTACTCTGGGATTTTTCTCACTCTTTATTTCCCTTAAACAACATGTGACTGGGGCCCATTTCACACTGTATCTTTTTGTTTTTAATCATATTTTTTTTGTTTTTATTTTTAAGCTTGTGAACATACATAACGTTCAGGTAATAGTCTTAATTTAATGTCCTTGATTTTTCTTTTTTTTTTTCCTTTTTTTATTATTAAGAGATTTTCTATTCATTTTACATACCTACCTCAGATTCCCCTCTCCTCCCTCCTCTCACCCCAGCCGTCCACTATAACCCACCCCCCATTCCTACCTCCTCCAAGGCAAGGTCTCCCACTGGGGAGTCAGCAGGGTCTGGGGCACATTCAGCTGAGCCAGGTCCAGGCCCCTCCCCCTGCGCCAAGGTGTCCAAGGGAGGTAAAACAACAGGCATGCTAAGGGAAGCCAAACAGACCATCCTGCAGGGAACCTCCTTAAACTCTGAAAGTAAACAACTCAAAACAGCTTCAGGAAGTCCCTGAAACTGTGCAGACTGACCAGGCCTCTCCTGTCCCAAGCCTACCTAAGTAGTAAGGATGGCTGAGAGACTCTGTTAAATATGACGCTGAGCTGCCTGGAAGAGCTAGTCTCCAGTATGTTAGCAAGCCGTGCAGTGTGCTCCAGGTTTCCAGCTTCTGAGAGCTGTCACTCATACTAGGGGTGGGCTTTTGGTGATGCAGCTGTGTGTGAGTCATCTGTGCTCCTGTAAGTAACCCTAATGAAACTCACTGGTTCACCAAGTTGGACTTTGATAGTATCCACAAAAAAAAAAAAAAAAAAAAAAAAAAAAAGGAGACATGAAGTTGGGAGGGAGTGGAAGGTGAGAGAGATTTGGAAGGAGTTGCCTTCGAGGAATGGGGATCATTATGATAAAGATACATGGTGTGTGTGTGTGTGTGTGTGTGTGTGTGTGTGTGTGTGTGTGTGTGTATGTGTGTGCTTAAAAAAAAATGTGACTGGGGAAAACCCCAGATGACTCACTGACCTTTGGCTAGAATTAACAGGAAAGTTCTCATCTTTTGCTCCTGGAAGGAAAATCCTGGGGAGCAGCTGGTTAGAAATTACAGGTGGGGGAAGTACTTGGTTGGGATTCATTTCAGTTGCTACAGTTGGAGACCCCAAGGACAGTGACCGACAGGACAACTTACTGTATATCCATAATGAGGAATGTTGAAGTACTGAATCCATCCAGGGTCTTGCATGAAGTCGGTGTATTGTAGTGATAGACCTGAGATATACTACAAAGAACAGAACCATGAATTCGATCCAGTCTATTGACTAAGAATTCTAGGCAAGATGCTCCCTCTTCAAGACTCCTTCATCCTTCTGACCATTTCTGCTCAGACCAGCTCTTTAAAACATCCTTTCAGTTAACTCTAAACAGAATTCTTCACTCGTTGCAAAGCCAAGGCTCTTCATGGTTTTTAAAATAAGGACTTGCCATCCAACTCTGCAGAAGTCAAATCCTATAGATATTGTTTCATCTTTAAAATGGCCTGCAAGCTATAAATATTCTTTAAACTTTAAATACCCTCATCCCATATTTAAAATCCTTTTTAGATTCCTTGTAATATCTAATTTGTATAGATATTATGAATGATGAACAAGGATGAACAAGAGACAGCTCTGAAGTTCACCTAAAACTTGCCCTATCTAGTCTAATGTACAGTAGGATATGCAAAACAACGACTGTGTGTGTGCATTCAGACTGCACCTGACCAAATGCTTCTATAGAAAGTACAACAATGGGCTTCATAACTAGTTTTAAAGTCCCACATAGAAACTTTATACAATAACCAGTTGTCTTAGTTCCTCTCCTGTGGCTGTGATAAAACACCATGACAAACATAGAAAAGTAAGGAGCTTTTCTAAGTACAAATTGCAAACATAATGGGAAAAAATGAGGGAAATAGTCTCATTCACAAAATCCTCAGAAAAAGGGAGCGAGTGGATGGGTGGGGAATCTTGGAATAAATCTAAACAAATGAAATACTTGTACAATAAAAAGTTTAAGACACTGAAAAAAATTGAGAAAAATACAAGATAGACAGACCTCTCATGTTTATAGATTCATAGGATAAAAATTATAATATCCATCCTACAAAAAGCAATCAATAGAGTCAATGTAATCCCCATCATAATTTCAATGCAATTCACAGAAACTGAAAAAAATAATATAAAGTTACACATGGAAATAAAAAAGATCAAGGTTAGGGGGACAATCTTGAACAATAACAATAAAACTGACAGAGGTATCACCACCCACTGGTGAAATAATCCATCCCTGTATTGTGTGAGGAATAATTCATCTTCTCTATTGATAAGAGGCATTCTGTGGGCCTGTCTGCACATCTGGGAACAAGAGCAACAGACTGTGGGAAATTTTACCACCCCATGTGTCCCTCTCTCATAAAGAGGACAACATGCCATTTGCTCTGGTAGAACCAGGGTCCCAATCAAAGGAAAAGTATACTTGATCCTGGGGATGTCCTGCCACACAATTATAGCAATCACTCCTTGGGCACATGCGCTGTGCAGTTAATACAGTTCACCCAAGTATTCAATTCTCTATATCAGTTTTATAAGCACATTATCAAAAGTAAAAACAAAGTGAACTCCACCAACATATCTTTTAGGTAGGAGGTATTGTTAGGTTACTTTTGAGAATTAATTTTAAAGACTGCCTGGATGAACCAAAGGAGACAATTTGGGACACATGTACTTGCCCATCAGAGAAAGTGTTCTGTTTATTTGTTTTGTTTTTTTTTTTAGGAAAGGGTAAAATTAGACACACATGAAAACGAATTGTTAGAAAGGCTCATATTAAAAAAATAATAAACAAGACTTTTAAATACAAATTTTAAAGGTTTTCCTTGTGTTGAGATTGTGTATTTCCCTGGGCACTGATGTCAGCAGCCTTGCACTTCAGTGTAAAGTGTCCCACCTCTTCAAACTTCTCTGTTGTGCACCCACATTCTCCCCCTTAAATATATAATCACTCATGAGAAGGGAAAATGGGAAGGGTCACACAGGCTCTGTCCACCTTATTTATATGTACACATTCAATCCTCTTTAACCCTCCACCCAATGCACTGGAGTCACTGTAAACCGCATTTCACTTTTTTAAATCTTCCATAACAATGCTCAGGCAGTTCTGGGCTCTGGAAGGTGACTAGGATTCCCTTCTATACTCTGGGGTAGAAGGACAGGAATCAACAAGGGGAGAACTCCTTGACATGGATCCTAGGCCTTGTTCTTTCCTCTGGGCTGTGGGGTCCCTGTTCTGGGATGGCAGCAGAGCCCATCTCCTACCGATCAACTGGTCCACAGCACCATGTTTGTCTACTGCCCCAAGCCCTGGGAGTCCAGCACCCCAGCAATGAGGGAGGTGAAAACACCATCACCATACCCCAAAAGAACACCCAGGAATGTTACAGGTTTTTAGGCCTTTACAAAAAGGAAGTCTGTAGTCTACAACCCAGGTCAGCAGGCTTGCACAGTGCTGTGAGTCCAATCCTTAATATGATAGGGCAGAACACTCCATCGGTTTTTCTTTGTCTCCTGTATGTAGTGACTTACAACTTTATTGGGTGCTCTAACTATGGGCAGTGAGTTAGAAATGTTGAAATATGTGGGAGAGGATTCCAGGAGACATGGGGTGAAGATACAACTATGCTCAAGGACACTGACCGTCCTACCTGGAGGTTTTCTGCTGCTCTTTCTCTTGAGGTGAAAGCAACACAAGGTGAACACTGGACAGACTACAACAACGGCGGTGACCGACCATTCGTGTTCTGATTGTATTTATGGCCTGCTCTACAAGATGGAAATCATTTCTGACGCTGTGGCTTGTGGGGTCACAGGGCCCAGAGAAGAATCTACTGTTGTTCTTCTGAATGGATGTGGTATTAAACTGACTTCTAATGAGTTGTGACACCCATAGATTAGGACATCTCAGACCTTCATCAGAGAAGCTTCCTTTTGCAGGAGACAGTGATTAACACAGACCCACCACAGGTCAACATACAGAGAAGAGAGACTACAGAGGATCCAGCCCTGAATGGGACATCTGTGTATCACACCCCTCCTCCCAAGGATCAAGGATCAGGATGTAAGAGTCTAGAGGGATTGTAAGAGCCAGAGGCTGTGGACAAGTGCAACAAAACAGGGTTCTCCTGTCACTATTGGACAGTGACACATAGGAATGCTGTGCAGTGTGACAACATGGGAACACCTGTACAAGAGCAAGACAGAGAAGATCCCTGCATGGAGGGGAGAGGCGGACATGACCTCCTCCCCCTGCCTGAGGAGTTACTGGCAGTTGATGGCTGCTGCGAGGGGTACTAGTTTTCTTTAAGCATGTGGCCCCTGAGAGCCTACCCATGCTGCAGTAGATGGTCCTAAACACCGGCACACATGGGCAGTGCTAGGTAGACCCAGAGGTTTACAGAAAGCAGAGCAAAGCATGAGTCAGGGAGGGGAGAATGGAGAGAGTGACAGGAAATGCAGCTGTCATTGTCCTGTTGTGACACAACACCATGATCAGGGAACCTGTAGAAGAGAGAGTTCCTTTGGCCTCAGGTTTCCAGAGTGACAAGAGGCCATCTTGGCAGGGAGGCATGGCAGCAGGCAGCAGGCTAGGAAGTGGGAGAGGAAGCTGAATGTTCACATCCTCATGTGACAGTGCAAAGCAGAGAGGGAAGAAGAAGGGGACAGGCCTATAAACACCCAAGCCCCTCCCCTCACCCAGGGACAGACTTTCCCCATCAAATCTCTACCTCCCAATGGTTCCAGAACCTCTCCAACAACCAACTGTGAACCAAGTCTTCAAGTCCCTGAGCCTTAGGGGACATTTCTCATTCAAAAGTCCACAGGGAAGGATTTTGGAGGGAGAAAATGGCATGGACTTCATCAAAACACCTTATGTGTGTTTAAGAATCTCTCAAACAAAAATTAATTAGTAACAGATTTATTGAAGATTTATATTACTGAATGGCTATACATATATGGCCATATATATAGGAAATAAAAACAAAACTTAGCACTTTCTTACTGACATGCATCTGTCATTGCCAAGCTACAGTATAATCTTGTACTAGCAGAAAGGATATGAATACTAACACACTAAATCAATTGTTCTATTTACTTGATATGCTTTTGGGGGGAAATGTGGGTCTGGCTCCATTTATCAGTTGATTTATTTACAATAATGTATATTTTATGGGTATGAAAGACTAAGATGGGGTAATCAATTACAGAAAGAGAAGCAGAAGTATGCTAATTCAGGAGACTAATTAGTACTTAGGAGTCTAGAATCTTGCACTATTTTTAATACTTTTCAGAATACAAGTAAGCCCTGAGATACACTCCTCCTGCTGAGCACTTACATTGACCATTGTTGTAGAATATTATTTTAAGGTGTGTTATACTTGTTTATGCTGTGGAACAAAGATGTGTTTTATTCTTTTAAGTTACATTTGTTTAACTGTGAAGCTGTAATACTTTGCCTGTTTAAAACACATGATTGGTCTAATTAAGAGCTGAACAGCAGGAGAAAGGAGAGGTGGGGCTGGCAGGCAGAGAGAATAAATGGGAGCAGAAATCTGAGAAGATGGAGGAGTTAGAAAAGGAGAAGAGGAGGACTCTAGGGGCCATGTATCCAGCCAGTCACAGAGTAAGAGTAAATGTAAGATACACAGAAAAAAAGAAAAAAGCCCAGAGGCAAAAAAAAAGGTAGGTGAGATCATTACGTTAAGAAAGAAGCCAAACTAAGGCCGGGAATTTATAAGTAATAATAAGATTCAGTGTGATTTATTTGGGAGCTGCACGGTGGGCCACCAACAGAGCAAAGAGTAAGAGTAAAAAAACAACCAACTGCAGATCATGACCCTTCCTTTCCCATTAGAGATGACCGAATAAACCGAATCACCTTGCTGTGGTTAAAACAGCAGGCAAGTCTCTCACATCAGCATGAAAGGAAGGCTGCAATCTGTCTTGTGGGGGGAATCACCCAATCATACCACTTTCTTGAAGTTCCAAGTTATTATGGCTTGTAATATTACTCCAAGAAATATCTGGTAAGGGCATTTTAACCACATCATAGAACTGACATCAGAGCAGTAGCCACAAAGCCTAGGTGGAAAGGCGGCTCCTTCTCTCCTACAGACCATAATAAGCTTTAGCATAAGGCCTCATGTCCCAAGTACTGATGTGTCAAGCATGTACATGTTCAAGAAGGACACAAGGAAAAATATCCTTTCAGAAAAACACAATTCACACTCACCAGCATGCATACAAAGTAGATGGTCATAAGCAGTGTTGGCACAGCCACTGCTCTCTCCCCTGCCCCTATAGACAGTGACAGGGAACTGGCAGAATAAGCCAACATCATGATGGTAAATGACATAGCAAAGAAATCCTTCACATCTGTGTTTACTCCTTAGAAAGAAAAAAGTGGGGTCAGTCCATCTACATAAATCAAGAGAATTTTACATATTTAAAGCAATACTTTAATAACCAATAAAATTACTAACAGCTTCACAGTCACCCAGTTTCCCTGGGTTTCCAACTACTACCTGATCATATGGATGCTGGGAAAAAAATTGGGGGACTTTAAAGAAGCAGCAAGTACTCTTAACAAATGAGCCTCGCTCCAACCCTATCATGTGGCTTTATTTTTATATTTCCCACAAAATACCTTTCCATATAATACCTGTTCTCGTCTATATATAATTATGGACAATTTATGAGATCCTGACATGGAGAGCCACAGACAACACAACTAATAAAAATGTTACCAAATTCTCTCACAGGAGAATCAGCAATAGAACACGTTCACATCCACATTACCCTGTGTTTATTATAATTGCACTAGTAATGAAACTGGTATCAGGACTATGCTGGTTAGTTTTTGTCAATTTAACACAAGCTAAGGTCATATGGGAAGAGGCAAGCTCAACTAAGAAATTGCTTGCATTAGACTGGTCTGTTGTCAGGCCAGTGGGGGCATTTTCTCAAAGAACGATTTACGGCTTAGACAAATGTGGATAATGCCATCCCTACACAAGTGATCCTGGATTTTATAAGAAAGCAGTCTGAACAAATCATAGGGAACAAGCCAGTAAGCACGACTCCTCCATGGCCCCTACTTCACTTCCTGCCTCCAGGTTCCTGCCCTGAGTTCCTGACCTGACTTACCTTCTTGAAGTACATTGAACTGTAAGATGAAATAAACCCTTTCCTCAAGAAGTTGAGTTGGTTATGTTCATCACGGGACAAAAACCTCAGGCAAGGATTAAACAACCTTGCAGTGGTTTTAATATCTAGAGGACAGGAGGGTGCCTCCAACTTTAGTTTTCCCCAGGAAATCACCTTGTAACTGCTATGCAGGAAGACAATGGGTTCCATAAGCTGATTTGTAATCTTTCTCGACCTAATGCTATGAGTCATACAGAGTATTGTGTTTTTATAATATTACAAGGACACAGAGTCTGGGAGCTGAGTTCCATGCCTAATTATTTAAAAAGTTATTGTTATGATTATCATGGTGTTTATAATGCATGTATGATTATGGGTCTGCATGTATCATAATGTCCATGTACCATAGTGTGTATATATCATAATGTACATGTGCCGTGTTGTGCATGTATCATGGTGTACATGTGGAGTTGAAGGACAACTTTCTGGAGTGATTCTCTCTTCACTGTGGATTCTGAGGATCAAATTCAGGTTGTCAGGCTTGTAGGACAAGCACATTTCCCACAGCCATCCCACGGCCTAAATGACAGGTTCTGAATGATAAGTCTCTTATAAAACAAAGTCTAAGCTTTATCAGTGCTTATTTTTCTCTGTGTGTGTGAGTGTGTATGTGTGTGAGTGTATATGTGTGTGTGTGTGTCTGTGTTTGTGTGTCCATGTGTGTTCATGTCCGTGTATGTGTGAATGTGTGTGTGAGTGTGAGTATGTGTGTGTGTGTAAAAAGTATGGATATTCTGAACAATTAGTCTACGGTGAAGCTTAACCATAATACACAAATGAATCTATGCATATATTTCAAATAATTGTATTAGATAATTTCAAGAAACCTCAAATTCAGTATTATCTCTCTTTGTCAGATTAGGTACTACAAGACACTGTATACATTTAAGTTCTTTTGCACACATACATATGTATAACATATTATTCACATTTCTATATCTTATTTACATATGGAGTCACTTATACAGAAACACAAAGAAAAATATGTAGCTGGGCTAGAGACATGGCTCACTGATTAAAAGCATTTGCTGTTATTGTAAAAGCCCTAGATTCCATTCCCAGCACCCACATGGTGGCTCACATTCTGAAACTCCAGTTCAAGGGGGTCTGATGTCCTCTTTGGACCTCCCCTGTCACTGCATTCACTTAGTGCGCACACACACACACACACACACACACACACACACACACACACACATACACACACACACAAAGGCAAAAACATAAAGAAAAAATAAATCTTCTACAATACCTATGGATAGGCATCTAATAATTGATCTTGCTCCATTGGTACTGTCTCAAATGGGTACATTATGTCTACATTCATTATAATACACAGAATCTCTAGTAAAAACACAGTTTCACAAACAGCTCTTGTAGTATTTTGTGAACAAGTCTTGGAGACTTTCCTCACACTGAACACCTGTTTTAGATGGCACACGGTGGAGACGTGCTTTTCTACTCATGCATTTCTACTTTAGACTTGCCACAGTTGTACAAACCAAAACACACTCCCCCAAGAGTAAAGACACACTCTCTTGCTTTGTCACTTACCTGCTATGCTGAATACTATAACAGTAAATACAGTACTTGTCAATAACCTCCTGGGTACCAGCTCACCCAGCAATTTCCCAAGGAAATATGGTGACACTCTGTAGTATCCACTGGTATGCTCATGTCTGGAGAGACAAAGATCATGTTAAACATCCTTAGATTAGTCCAGAAGACACAGGTGAGATGATGGCTAAGCTGACTTCTGCCTTGACAGGGAGCCTAACAGGACAGTGTCCCCTATGCTCCAGGCTGACTCCCATACACGTCCCCATCTTAGGGACCAGCATCCCTAGGCCAGCATCCTGATGACATTCTCACTAGGATTCTCCCCATCAGAAAACTCTCCCCTGTTTTGTCCAGTCTGGCCACACTACGGCCCCTCCAGGGATAGACTGATGTGCCCACTCTCCTCAGAGTCTCTGCCCCTCTGAAGTTAGTTCCCTGAGGAGCAGCTCATTCCTACCTCACCTCAGACAGTGGTCATGGAGACTTCTCTCCTTCTAGTTCTCATGAAGAAGGTGACACTGTCACTCTGAGGTCACAGTGCAGCTTCAGGACACTACATTCTTCTCTCTAGCTACTCTCACTTTAGGACAGATATGGTGATATTTTATTTGTACTGAAATGTGATTTTATTTGTATGTTAATAAATAAAGTTGCCTGGGGATCAGAGCTAATAGCAAGCCATAGCAAGAGGCAGACAGTGGTGGTGCATACCTTTAATCCCAATCACATGACAGGCAGATCTCTGTGTGTTCAAGGATACAGTCAGCATGGAAACACACGCCTTTAATCTCAATACCAACCATAGAAGACCTGGAGGTCTGTATAGACCGTCAGTGATGAGGAGGTCATGTGGTTGGGTTTACAACCAATGAGAAGGCAGAACAGAAAGTCAATAAAAAGACAGATACACAGGAAGTAGGTCTCTTGCTGAGGGGAAGGATGGCAGCGGCAGGACTAAAGCAGGCAGAAGGCAGTTTTAGTCTCAGCTCTTAGTAACTGCTCTGACCTCTTGGGCTTTTAACTCTGTATTTGGCTCTGTGTTTCTTATTTAATAAGACTGTTACATCTACATTTGGTGCCCACGTGGCAAGAATTCATTAAAAACCGGCAGGTCCAGCTCCCTGCCTGGGCCTAGCTTGGCCTAGGCCCCAGACCCGACTGACCGTAGCTAAAAGTGGTTAACCGCAGCTAGAGCTACTTGCAGCCAGATTTAAAAAAAACAAAAAACAAAAAACAAAAAAAAAACCAAAAAACGGGTGCTATGAACAACTCAGGCCTGCCAGAGATACCAGTCAGCCGCACTCGACTGCAACCACAGATAGAGCTGCTTTCGGCCAAAATGCCAATGCATGTGGTCAGAGCTTATGGAAGCCAGAGCCCAGGCTCGACTTGGCTCAAGCGGAAACACGTGGCTAGATTTAAGCTTTTAGCCAGAACTTGTGGCTACCCTTTCTCTCTCTCTCTCTCTCTCTCTCTCTCTCTCTCTCTCTCTCTCTCTCTCTCTCCCTGGATTCCCACCTTGGACGCTAGGTAGCTCTTTTGAAATTCCCTCAGATTTCTACTGTTCTATGCAGACTTG